ATGTACACACTCCTGGCATGTTTCTTAAGCCAGCAAGACCAGGATTCGAACCATGAGGATGGCCATGTGGGATTAGGCTATCACAACTCATAGTCACAGGGCTGGCCCCAAAGCCAAATTTTCAACAACTCTCAGGGCAAACAAAGAAACAAGAAAATACATCACATCAATGGATCCGAGTAAACTGCAGAAAGTATCCCACATGGCCAACCATGATTTGAGTCCCAGGCTGGGGGTCTGCTTTCTTACTCTCCCTTTCTCTTTCTCTGTGTCTGTCTTCCTGGCCAAATTTTAAAAATAATAATAATGATGAATTAAAATAAGATAAAGTAATTCTTTGAAAAGAAAGAAAGTATACCCAAAGAAGCCTAGACATCAGACTTAATACACAAAGACTCTAAAATAACTGTCTTAAAGATATATACAGAACTAAGAAACAAGGACACAGAACTAAAGGAAATCAGAAATATAACATAGGACAAAATGTAAACACCCGCAAAGGGAAATTATAAAAAGGAATCTAAACAAATTCTGGAGCTGAAAAGTACAATAGTTGAAAAAGTCACCAGGGCAATTAAAACTACTGAGTGTGAGGAGCAGGAATTAAGAATAAAGAAAAGTGAGCAGGCTTCTGGAACACTTTTGAACACACCAACATATGCACTAGGAAGTCCAGAGGACAACAGAAATAAGGTATAGAGATTATGTTTAGAAACGGCTAAAAATGTCAAAGAATTCCAAGGAAGATAAATCAAAGAGACCTACACACATTAACTGTAACAGCTGAAAGACAAAAAGAGAATCTGGAAAGTAATGAGGGATCCTCAATAAGACCGTCAGCCAACATCTTGTGATAAATCTTGGTAGGCCAGAAGGCAGCAGGATAATACATTTACAATGCTGAAAGAGGGCCAAGTCTAGCGGGCAGTGTAATGTTCTGCTCCAGGGAAGCTGGATCTCACGAGGTGACTATGGTTTCAATCTCCAGCAGTCAGCCTGAAACACACTGGGTACACACCTGTGACTGCCCAGGATCTGACAGGCTGAGGATTGGAGGAAGGGGGCTGCGGCACCACCAGCCCTATGGAGGGTGCTTCTCTCCCAGTCTGTCTCTCTCTCAACCTACTGTGAGCACACACATATTCTAGCATAAAGAAAAAGTACTGAAATAAAAGTCAGTGGATAATTCTGCATTCTCTAAAACTGTCCTTCAAAAGTGAGGAAGAGTGGCCAGCAGGTGGCGTGGTGGTTAAGGGCACTGGACTCCCACATGGTTGGCCACAGTTTGAGTCCTGGACTGGCAGCTTGCTTTCTCACTCTCTCTCTTTTGCTCTGTGGTCAAACTGAAAAAAAAAAAATGATGATGAATAAAATTAAATAAATTAATTGTAAAAAAACTAGAGTATATGTTTAGCTTT